TGGACCTGCTCTGGCAGGGGGTTGGACTGGGGGTTCTCCAGAGGTTCCTACCAACCCCTGCCAGGCTGGGAGTCTGCTATCCATGGCCAACCCTGCACCCCAGCCCAGCGTGGGCCACAGCAGTCTCATCACCCCACAGTGAGCCCTGCCCTGAGGGCCAAATTCCTCCTCGAGGGCCAAATTCCTCCCCATTTAGGTGAGGCACATTGCTTGGCACAGCCCAACCCTGGCACGTCCTGCCAAGGTGCCGGTGCTTCCCCAGCCCCAGGCGGTGTCACAGGGATGGGTGCCACCTCCCACGGGCAGCAGGGCCAAGCATGCAGTGTCAGGGACAGTTGGAGTATGGGGCAGAGGTTTGGGGGGGTCACGGAGTGCCAGGCAGGGTCCCACAATCCTGTGCCCTGTGCATGGTGCCACACAAACATACCCACTGGCCAGCCATGCCCCAAACCAGTTGGTTGGCTCATTAGCAAATTAGTTCAGTTAAGGTGATTTAAGGAGCATCCACGGGGCAAAGGGCTGACCAGAAGGCTGGAGCCCCTCTGCTGGGAGGGGGGGCTGAGAGAGTTGGGGGGTTCAACCTGGAGAGGAGAAGGCTCCGGGGAGACCTTGGAGCCCCTTCCAGTCCCTCAAGGTGGGGGGGGCTCCAGGAAAGGTGGGGAGGGACTCTTGATGAGGGAGGGGAGCCCTAGGAGGAGGGGGAAGGGTTTGACCCTGAAAGAGGGGAGATGGAGCTGAGCTGTGGGGAAGAACTTGTTTGGTGTGAGGGTGGTGAGAGCCTGGCCCAGGTTGCCCTGAGAAGCTGTGGCTGCCCCATCCCTGGAGGGGTTCAAGGGCAGGTTGGAGGGGGCTTGGAGCAACCTGGTGTGGTGGGAGGTGTCCCTGCCCAGGGCAGGGGGTGGCACTGGGGGGGCTTTAAGGTCCCTTCCAACCCAAACCATTCTATGATTGTATTATTCTATGAAAGCAGAAATCACCAATTTTATTGGGCGGTTTGAAGTGAGTGTAAAATAAATGGTGCAATAAAAGCCTCTCAGCCCAGTCTGGGGAGGGCAGGCTGTGGGGCTGGACTGGTTCTGAGCCCATGGAGCATCAGCTCCATGGAGCATCTCTGTAGAGAGGTTGGGGCTGGTCTCTTCTCACAGGTAATTAACGACAGAACAAGAGGGAACGACTTCAAGCTCCAACAGGGCAGATTTAGACTAAACATTAGGAAGGAATTTTTCACAGAAAGAGTGGTCGGGCGTTGGAACAGGCTGCCCAGGGAGGGGGGGGAGTCCCCATCCCTGGCTGTGTTTAAGGGCCGTTTAGATGCAGTGCTGAGGGACATGGTGTAGGGGAGGACTTTGT